CCGGCACCCCCCCCGGGGGCCCCCCCGGGGGGGGCCCCCAGGGGGCCCCCCCGGAGGGGGCCCCCAAGGGGGCCCCCCAGGGGGGCCCCCTGGGGGGCCCCCTGAGGGGCCCCCATATCAGGGGCCCCCTGGGGGCCCCCTAAGTCAAGGGTGTCCTGTGGGGGGCCCCCAAAGGAGGCCCTGGGGGGCCCCTGGGGCTGCTGAGGGAGACAGGCCCCTGCTGCAGCGCATGCAGAAGGGGAAGGAGGCACTAATGGGGTTGCTGCAGCAGGGTACTGCTGCTGCTGCTGCTGTTGCTGCTGCTGCGGCTGCTGCTGCTGCTGCTGCGGTGTGAGGTGGGGGTACGGCTGCGGGTCGTCGTGAGGCCGTTGCTGCAGTCCGTGCTGCATTTGCTGCTGCAGCAGCTGCTGCTGCTGCTCGTTATAGTACTGGTTCATCTGCTGCTGCTGCTGCATCTGCTGCTGCTGCATCAGCTGCTGCTGCTGCAGCTGCTGCTGCTGCTGCTGCCACCCAGCGACCCCTGGCAGCACAGACTTCTTGGGCTTTCTTTGGATTTTAGATGGCTGCAGAAAAGCTGCAGCAGGGGCCCCCAGCGGGTTGTGGGGCCCCGCAGCAGCAGCTGCTTCAGCAGCAGCAGCAGCAGCAAACAGGGACTCTGGAAGAGTCTCAAGGCAGGGCGGGGCCCCCTGGGGGCCCCCCAGGGGGCCCCTTGAGGCAGCAGAATGCGCATGCTGCAGCAGCTCAAAGGCATCTTCGCCGCTGCCTGCTGCTGCTGCTGCTGCTGCTGCTGCTGCTGCTGCTGCAGGCAGGCTGTGCTGCGGCATAGCTGAGGAGGGCCCTAGAGAAACCCCCCAGGACTGCTGTGCTGCTGCTGCCTGTGGATATTGCTGCTGCTGCTGCTGCTGCAGCTGCTGCGGCTGCGGCTGTTGCATCTGCTGCTGGTAGTAGTACTGTTGCTGCGGCTGCTGCTGCTGCTGCTGCTGCTGCTGGAAGAGTCTCCCGAACTGCCCTGGGGGGCCCCCAGAGGCCTCCACATGGGGGCCCCCCACCTGGGGGGCCCCCATAGGGGGGCCCCCCACCAGGGGGCCCCCCAGCTGGGGGCCCCCCATCTGGGGGGCCCCCATAGGGGGGCCCCCCATCTGAGGGGGCCCCCTCGGGGCACTGTACCCTGTTTGGATTTGGGGGCCCTGGGGAGGGTCCTGGGGAGTGGGGGCCCCCCCTTTGAAAAGAAATGAAAAGGCAGAAGAAGCAGCACGGGTGAAGGCGTTGCCATCTGCTGCTGCTGCTGGCCTCTGCTGCTGCTGCTGCTGCTGCTGCTGCTGCTGCTGCTGGTGTGCTGCAGGGTGTGCGTGGGGGCCCCCTGCATCTGCTGCAGAGGCCTCCAGCGCTGCTGCTGCTCTTGCCGCTGGGGCCTGGGGGCCCCCGCTGCTGCTCCCAGGGGCCCCCGTACTGCTTGGGGGGCCCCCCGTGCTGCTGGGGGGGCCCCCCGTGCTGCTGGGGGGGGCCCCCGTGCTGCTTTGGGGGCCACCCGGGGGCCCCCTGATGGACATGCCTGAAAAGAGAGCCATGATGGGCCTGCAGCAGGAGTGGGGTGTCTGTACACCTCAGCAGCAGCTTGCTGCTGCAGGGGCCCCCCAGCTGCTGCTGCTGCTGCTGCTCTGTGCGCAGATTTTTGCTGCTGAAGCCTTCCTTAGGGGAAGAAGTAAATACAGAAAATGAAGAAATAAAACAAAGTTTTAATTTAGTTTTTCTAATTCAGCTGCTCCTGCGTGCGCAGACAAGCAGCAGCTGCTGCAGCTGCTGAGCAGCAGCAGACGCTGCTGCTGCCGGCAGCAGCAGCAGCAGCAGCTGCTGCTGCGTTTCTGGGGTTAAAAATAGTCTTTTTTCCAATTTTAATGGTTCTAAATGTTTTTTATTTTATTTAATTTAAAAAAATCAAAAAAAGAACAGAAAAAGACCCATTTTAGACAAACTTTCCTTCAAATTGCATTTTCGCTTCTGCGGCGGAGTCGGCGGCGCCGCTCGCAGCAGCTTTTCATTTATTTTATTTTAGTTTATTTTATTTTATTTTATTTTATTTTATTTTATTTTATTTTATTTTATTTTATTTTAATTATTTCATTTTATTTATTTTTATTTTAATTTTGTTTTCTTATGTTGTTATTTTCACGTTTTCCCATAGACACCTGCAAGGGGGCCCCTTATTTTCTTTAACACCTTTACTTTTTATTTTATTCTTTTAATTTCATTCTTTCTATTCTTTTTATTCTTTTTATTCTTTTTAGTTTTATTTTGTCTTCTTCTTAGTTTATATTCCTCAATTAAAGCTGCACCTTCTACTTCTTTCCTTTAAAGTTCAACAAGTACCAAAAAGAAGCTCCCAATATCTCTTGGGGGCCCCTCAGAGGCCCCCAGGGGCCCCCGGGGACCCCAGAGGGGCCCCGATGGGCCCCCCGGGGGCCCCCCGGGGGCCCCCCGGGGGGCCCCCAAGGTGCCCTGGGGGGCCCCCTGGGGGCCCCAGAGAGGCCCTTGGGGGCCCCGGGGGGCTCCTCCGGGTCCTGGGGGG